GGTACCGCGGTCAGGCGGCGCTCGAGGGCACTTTGAAACCCAACGTTCGGAGACACGGCGTGGTCAATATCAAAATGAGTAATGTCACTTTTTGAAAATCCAACATATACAAGTAAATATCAAACTCAGTGGACCCAACGTGGACGATATTTTTTTTTTAATGGGTGACAATGGAATCGTATGGGGATACACAGCGCGGTTCCCCAATCCATATACGTTGGCGAGGTACTAATTAATAATGATCGATTTCTCACCCATGAATTATCATCATACCAACCATTAAGTGTCTACTGCTGAACATAAGTCTCCTTATATTGGGGAAGTTTTGCCAGTAGTTCTCATACTTGGCAGGTTGATTGGCAACCTTATTTAGGCTTTGGTGATGTTTTAAGAGGGACGCTGCTACTCATCCCTCGACCATTAAGTACTCTTAATCGCTTCTTACGACACCCACGTAATAGGAAGGAAAGGCCCACTCTATGCTGGGACCACACGGCAATCTATGAATGCAGATCAGTTAATCTATCATGACGAATTCTACAAGAATAGTGGTTTCTAGTGGAGATCGACCTAATACTGATCTGATTGCTAGTAATAGAACTATAAGACCTCATTACTAATAATTTTGTTCCCACTACCTGGGCAATATAATACTATCTGTTCTCCTTTAATCAAAGGTTGTCTGTTAGAGATAGCCCTAGCGGTAAGACCGCCTTTTGTACCTTTATGTGTTTTATCAATCTATATTGATATTACTGTATTTCACTTGAATTATTCACTTGTCATTGTATATTTTTATATGCAACAAAGAGTTAAATAAATAAATAAATACCCAGTGTGGGCAAAATCGTATTAGGTGATGATCTTTTTTAGAAACCTAATTTTAGATATCAGACGCGGCGAAATAACAAGAACAATATCAAAATGGATGAAATTTTTTTCATCGTCAGGGGCGAGAGGCGAGGGCTGTTCAAACACTTGCCCAGAGATATCAGATACACTAAGTCCGACTCTGGCTACGATAATAGTAGATACAATAAAAAGTCAAAACGTAACGGGTTAATCGTGTCTATATCTCGAATTAGACTCGACACAAAAAAGGTTCGAACGAAAAAGTCGACGCTCCAGCCAACAGTACCGTAGTAGGGTATATTAGTTTTATTTATAGAGGAGTCTCGTTCGATAACGTACATTACATTCATTACCATGCTCAAATAATGATTTTCAAATACAACGAGACGAAAGCAAATATTTTTATTTATTATCCATTTAAATCGTTTGTCTTTCACACTATGTTGAATAATATTTTTAATGAAATAAAAATAAAAGACAAATACACTTCTGTCTTTTATTTTTATTTCATTTCTTCATTTTTTTTTTTTGGTATTCAGCTTTAAATGGCAAATAAGTTGACGGCCCACTTGATGGAAAGTGGTAAACGTTGTCTACAGACATAAACAACACCAAGGGCATAGCAAAGTATATTGTTCCCCCCATGATACCATTCATGCGTTGCCACTTCTAAGGACTAAGGTATTATGCCTTTATACCCTGTAATTTCGCCATATCCCATATCCCATAGATATACTGTCATACAAACACAGTTGCTTCACGACAGAAACACGAATGAGACAGAAGCACTCAAGTAAAAGACTTTTGTAAAAATTTTACTCATTTAAATTATGTATATTATACGTAAATATTTTCCAAAACTTTTTCAGAAATGCTTATATAAATGAAAAAGTAAAATTTACAAATACAAAATAATAAAAAAAAAACACAATAAAAACACACAATGTTTTAGAATTTGTGAAAATATAGTGTAAGGAATACACAAAATATTTTAAAACTTCCTACTTTTTTAAAATAAATAATTCAATCGTAATGTCAAGTAAACTGCCTGCTTTTTTAAATTACTTAAAAGCTAAACATCTTTTTGCTATAGTTGAAATAAATATCGCGACCTCAATAACATAAACTGTCCAAATTTGTTTCACTATTTGAAGAAATTCACAAAAAAATGTCTTATCATGAGACAGATCGAATAAAACAGCTGTAGGCGTCCATAATTGCTACTGCTGCTTAGGTTTCAAACAATAATCGAGTTCACGTAACATTTAAATACGAGAACGCACAAAGGAAAGTGTTACGAACACCATTTCTCTTTCATGGCAGGCGCTAATAAGGAAATTTAGTTGCCAAAGATCTATTCGATATGAAAGAAAATAATGTATTACTGCGCGCACGACTTTAGGACTATTGCCCCCCAAAAAAAGTGAATATATAAATCAAAGCCCAATATTACAATGTCTGAATTAAAATATAATATAATATAAAAAAAGATACTATTCAATAAATTGTTACTAAGATAATTAAGGTATTAATAATAGTAACCTTAATTGCCGTGTGGTCCCAGCATAGATTAAGCCACTCCTTCCTTTCCTGTGGATGTCGTAAGAGGCGACTAAGGGAGAACGACAGAAGAGCAGCAGTGTCCCCCTTAATACATCTCCAAACCCTGACTGCGGTTGCCAATCCGCCTGCCAAGAGTGGAGCTACTAGTAAAACCCCCGACGGGGAGGCTTATGTTCCGCAGTGGATACTTAAAGGCTGACATGATGATGATGATGAAGCTTGACATATTTTTAATATGAATGAATGAAAATTTATTTCAATATTTAGCATTTATTTGTACCCAATTGCTGTTCAGTTTTTTAGTTTGTAATAATAAAAAACTAAAAAGCAATTGGGGGGAAATTAATCATAATAATCACATCTCTAATCGCTGCTCTTGGTGTTACCGAAAATATAATATTGGGGTTCCAGATAGTGAACGAAACAAATGGTAATCAAGTGTTTGACCTTTATAAACAAAATATATATACAAGCAAATAGTAATTAGTCTTTAACATAATTTCTTTTATTTTATTTAAGTCGTTTGCTTGGGCACCTCTGTCCCATTCGTGTTTCTGCCATGAAGCAGTTGTGTTTGCATGGCTGAATTTCGGTTTGAAGGGTGGGATATGGCAGTGAATATACAGCGTATAGAGAAATAACACCTGAGATCTCGGGAATGCCAACGAATTTTAATGATTTTTCTTATAGTACTAAAAAAATACAAGTAGCACACAGCGATCTGATCTGTTCTTAAAAGTTTTTAACGAATGAAAAATTAATTATTATAAAACATTTTTTTTATACCACTGAAGTTAAAAACAAGCATACGGCCCATATGATGGTAAGCAGTTACCGTAACCCTATGAACACCTGTAATACTAGGGGCCAATCCTGAAGAAACCTTTTTACCTCTTTTTGCTAAACCCCATGCTATAGTCGATTGAAAAAACCTCAAACAAATCCTAAGACCGAAACAAGAAGTTAAAAGGGAAACAAATGTAGGTAAAAATTATCAATAAAAAAGAAATCCACTGTGATTAACGGAATGCAACTAAAATTGGTCACGCTCAATGTTCCATTAACCTAAATTTTCGAATGAACTACTCGAGAAAAGCGGTTGACTAAAAATAAACGCTGTTGGAAACAATAGTAACCCTATTGGTCGATTAGCATAACTAATGAGCTAGAAACAGAGCGGCAGACTTCGTTATCTATTGAAAGTATTGGAACAGTGACACGTACTCTCTGTAGAATTCCTTTAGAGGCATTGTTTTCCATAAATTATCAATGTATAGATCTATATGCAGCGTGATGGGTCGTGTCGTTGAATTCCCTAAAATATGCTTGAGCACAATGATTACTGGCTCATTCGTCATACTCGTGAACGCTCATCTATCGTTCCTCACTGATGCCCCATCCGTATACATCGATAACGAAGGAGGGGTTACCATTCCATTTTCACCCATATTAAAATTCTCCATTTTGGCATTCTAAAATCAAATCTTAGCCTAAACCTCTAAATTAATAATAAAATTCATATTTGGATTATTAGAAAACGTTTTATTTGCTTCGTTCTTCTAATAAGCCACGGTTACGTAAGAGACCTTTATTTATAATGAAGGTAGCCTAGAAACTCTTGACACTAAAGGATGACCCCTCACACGAGTAATAGTAGCAATACGAGTTTTGTCCGCGACTTCATCCGCATTACCGCGGATATATTGATTGATGGATATAAAAAAATAGTTTGTGTCCTTACTGTCCCACTGTTTCCACGATAGTTTTATTTGAGAAATATTTGTTACAAGAATTAATTTTAAATATGTATATTGAAAAACCATATATGTATTTATATTTTCGAATGAAAAAAAGATAAGGTTTAATTTCATTATATTTGATTTTTAAAACTAGCTGCAATGAAATTATCATTGCATTATTAATTTCATTTAGGTTACCAGTTACCAATACCAGAGGGAGACTTTGTACAAAAGTCATTTGCTTGGGCACCTCTGTCCCATTCATTTTTCTATCGTAAAGTAATTGCGTTTACATGGCTATGTTTCGGTTTGAATGGTAGTGAATTAACAGGATACAGAAAAATAACACCTGAGTCCTTAGGAATGGCAACGCATGGGTATTATGGGCGATACAGTATATTCTGTAATGTCTATGCTACAGTATATTCTGTTATGTTCTTGTGTATAGGTGACAGTTACCACTTTCCATCAGGTGGGCCGTCAACTTGCTTGCCATTTTTAGTTGCATAAAAAAAATGTTATCTGACCGGAAGGGTCAAAATGGAGAAGTTTGGTGTTATCTCAAATATACATGTTATTACAAATCAACTGTGAATAGAAGCATTAAAAGACTGTAAAAAAAAAAACAATAAAATAAATTTAAAACATGAGAACGGTATATAATTAAGTTGTCATATATAACATACTTGATTATTTCTTGTAATTGTTTATATTTATAATAAGTTTACTATTGTAATCTTTTGGAGGAAACAATAAAGAGTATCTATATATCTATATATCTATACTTGTGATATCTCACATATTGGTTGTAGAACAATAAATACACACATCCAATGTATTACTCACCAAATTAATCACATTCTCACAATGTATTCGAACAATGCAAACATTTACCTGTAACAAAAAGAAAAAAACGATATAAACTTTTAAAATGCAACAAAACCTTTTCAGAGGTCGATGACATTTATAGACCGGTCGGTACAAATTGAGTAATCGTAGACACTGACTCAGATTGTCCAAAAATTTGCAACAATTTTTGTATCTATTTATTTGTTGATGTTTTTTTTTTCCTTGCAATTACGTCAGACTATTATATGGTATAATTTAGAAGTTTCAATGAATAATAGATATCTAATAACAAATGCAATCTAAAACTAAGAGGTTTTGTTTAATGGGTAATAATAGAATATTTACCCCACCTGTACTATCGGTATGAACTGGCGAGACACCAGTGGGACATGATAAGTGAAAATGAAAACAAGTTAGCCCGTCGTGGCGAATTCAACAAGAATTAACTACAGTGGTTTAGGGGTAACTGCGTGGAGGTCAACCTGATAGGATTTATTGTTAGCAATGGATTTTTTATGCCCCATTATTAACAATCCCTTTCCCCCCATACTAGTACTATTAGGTGTATCATATAAAATACCTTGAATGAATTCCTACTAAAACTGTTACGCTGCTAGAAAGAAATATTACTTAATCAATGTGTGCGCGTGCAAAACCATGAGACACAACTAGTATTCAATAACGCTAATGATATACATAAAGCTGTATACACACAAGTGTCACGTCATTCACTCACACATGAGTGTTTATTTTAGTCAGTGACCGTAGAATTATGACGTACACGCGCCAATATTATTTGAACCCTTACATTATGCAATTATAATACATTACGGGGATCAAGATCACTAGTTACACTAATAAAATTGAAGTGAGGCAATATACACACATGCAGAGCTTATAAAAACACTGGAACAGTAACCAGTCAATATGGTAGCCGACTTTAGAACAAACATTGTGATCTTAAGTATAGTATAACAGTACGTAATGCGTTTAAAATGCATTGTATGAAGTGTTCTAATGAATATGGTAATTGCCCATCTAAGATTAGTTATTAGGGAAATGGTGTCATGTTACGCATACTTACAAAAAAGACCACCATATAAATTCTCGATTGGTTTTTTTTTTTCTTTTTTACACTACAAAAGTAATAAATCACCGTACAATATGAGTACATCGAATTCTCGAACGATTTTTTTTTTGATGGATGAAAATGGTATGGTAACCCCGCCTGCGCTAACGGGATACGCTGGCGGAGCACCAGTGAAGGGTGATAGATGAGAATAAAAACAGGCCAGTTAGACCATCGTGATGAATTCATCAGGAATTAACCATGATAGGGGGAACCGCGAGGAGGTCGACCTGGTTGGGTATATTGCTAGCAATAGGATTCTCAGTCTCCATTACTAACAATCCCTTTCCCCTCATTCTAAATGGTTACCATATCATATGAACATTTACAACAATAAGAGTATCACATGGGGAGTAATGGTCCCATTGCTATCAATATACAATGTCAGGTTAACCACTACATAGTTCTTCCTGGAAACCGTCGTAAATACGTCACGAAGGGTTAACTGGTCTGATTTTATCATTACCTATCATTCTTCGCTTGTACCCCGCCAATGTATACCGATAGCGCAGGCAGAGTTAGTATTTCATTAACAAAAACAGACCCTGAAGGAACGCTTTTGTACAACCTCATACAGTAGGGGGGAAGATCTTGTTAGTAATGCGGGCTACTATTTTTTTTTTTTTTTTTTTTTTTTTTTTTACAACACAGGGGGCAAACGAGCATGCGGCTCACCTGATGGTAAGTGACTACCGCCGCCCATGGTCACCCACAACACCTACGGCATTGCAGGTGTGATTATTAGCATTACTAGTCCCATTGCCAGTAATATACCCTGTCAGGTCGACTTCCACGTGTTCCCCCCCGGAAATCGTTGTCCTGAATCCCAGGCGTATTCCTCACGTTAGGTTAACTGACCTGCCTTTCATTCTCACTTATCATCCGTCACTGGTGCTCCGCCAGCATATACCGTTAACGCAGGCGGGGCTACCATTCCATTAAAATTTATTAAAAAAAAACCCATACAGTAGCCTCAAGGTTGTAAAATGTATAAAAAAACGTTTTTTCTGTGGTAATAAAAGTACCTTGGTAGGTATTCTGTACCTGACGTATATAGTATACTATAAACACTATTATGGTATACTATATATATATATATATATATATATATATATATATATATATATATATATATATATATATATATATATATATATATATATATATATATATATCTATAAGGAGATTTAGTGTCTTCATAAAATTGCATATATATTTGGTTTTTTTATTAAAATATGGAGATAATAGAGCTTTGCCGTTTAGTGTTACGAGATATTAAACACAATCAAATCACAGGCAACAGAACTTATATCTAAGACAGATAACCCTCTGTACCTTTAACTAGCTACTTGCTATTAGTGCATGGGTAACCATGGTTAGCTAACTACTTGAGCAAATCATACAAACCACTTAAAGAGAATTACAAACAATTAAATACTATTGCATGCTGTTCAAAACAAACACGAAACAATTCGTGTTATACCTAACATACCTAAGTTTGAAGTAATGAAATATAGCTTAGTAACACACGACTGCGTGCACCGAAATTATACATTTCTAAAAAAAACAACTCCTGAACTATGTTAGACGAGCATTTCTATTCACGAGTCGTTAGTGCCACCTTTTTATTGTGTACCCTGTGCGTGTCAATGAACTCAAATTATGATCGACTCACGCGCACGCTCATATGTTACTACAGTGTAGCCCGAGCCTAACAAAAATGGAATATTGAATAAATAACGGACAGTTTTTAACTACGTATTTGAAATGATATTCCCTTATTTTTAGATTTTTTTTTATATACAACTTAGAACGGTAAACAAACCGACGGCCCACCTGATGGAACCGTCGCCTATAGACATGAGCAGTACCATGGACATAATAGAGTACACTGTTTCACCCATGATACCCCCCCATGTGTTGCCAATCCTGAGGACTCGAGTGTTATTCCTCTGTACCCTGTAAATTCACGCCATATCCCACCCTTCAAACCGAAACACAGCCATGCAAACACTACTGCTTCACGGTAGAAACACGAATGAGACAGAGGTACCTAAGCAATCTACTTTTGTACAAAGTCTCCCTCTGGTGAATCTATCACAATGTACGTCATTACTCGACACATTCATGAGACGGAGTAAAGATTTTAGTTTTTATGAATGCAAAGGAAATTTTGAATTCTTCTGGTCGTATGTGACAAAACACTCCAATGGGGAAACCTATGTTCAGCAATGAATAGTTAACGGCTGAAATGATGATATGGTAATGTGACAGTTAATACTTCCTATCAGATTGTCAGCTGTAATGTTATTTTGATAATATAAAAGTTACCATTATTTATTTACTCACATTATGAGAAGTTCCAATCACAAGATACAACTCATAATTGTAACATGTATTTGTAACTTCTTGGCATATAATCCCAGAATATAATAGGCCACTCCCTCCTTTCCCATGGCTGTAGGAAGCGACTAAGGGAACATAACGATAAAGGGATGGGCAGCAGCGTCCCTTTCAAAACATAACCAAAACCTAACTGCATTTTCTAATCTACCTGCCAAATGTGGCAACTACTGGCAACCCTGTCCCCTTTTTTGGGGAGGCCTATGTTCAGCAATGGCCACTGGACTGCTGATACGATGATAATTATGATGACGACGAAGATTGTAACTTCATGTTTTTGTCAATTTTTTTTTTTTCTATTTCCATATTTTGTACTTGTAAACTGTCTATTTTAGTTGCGTTTCATTAATTATACATTAGTTTAATTAGTGAAAAATTGTATAATGTAAAAAACAACGAGCAATCATATTGTTCTCATCGCTACGGTCTTTGCACAGGATGATTGCAAGGCAATGTGGCGCATACAATATGGAAATGTTGTGGCCACCAAAACCACGACCAGCTGTTATGAACGATCGAAAATATTACATTATAATTTACACTTTATTGTACACACTAATAATACATAATATATTATATAAACTATATATACATATATATATATATATAAACAAGAGTATCTGTCTATAATAATACATAAAAAATGGCCGTGTGGTCCCGGCACAGAATAGGCCACCTCTTCCTTTCCCGTGGATGTCGTAAGAAGCGACTAAGGAAGGGCGAGGGATGAGCAACGGCGTCCTTCTTCAAACATGTTTCAAGCCTGACTGCGGTTGCCAATCTGCCTGCCAAGCGTGGCAACTACTCTCCAAGGGCCACCCCCTTTTGTTATATGCAGTGGACAGTTAAAGGCCGATATGATGAATAATGTACAAAGGCGTGCTTAACTCTGAAAGTTCTCTTGCAGCAAACCCAAAGTGGAAAGGAGCATCAATGTTAACAATATTGTGACAATTTTCATACAAAAGAACTAGACAAATTTATTAATGTTTACGTATGAATAATTTTAGATATTTAACGAATATCAAGCTTAAGTCGTAAGGACGTCATGCAAACAATATCAGTGGACTCGCCTTCTATCATGTTTTTTTCTAATATGCATAGTGTTAAATTTGAGAAATTTCGATGGATTTTTTGCTTAGATCATCTTCTTCACTTTGCACTAAGATTTCTAGTTCAGGACTCCAGAAAAGAGTCTAGTCATTGCTGATTTTTTTATCCTATATGTGTACACATATTAAAAATAATTAAAATTATAATTGCTCAACACTATTGTCAATAGTTCGAGCGATAATTACCAATGGCTGTTGTCATTATGTTGGTTCCTTTTTTAAATGTCAAATCACTAACATACAGATTCCTCTATAAGAGATGAAGAACAAGAAATTACATTGAAGGAATGATAAAATAAAACTATAAATCATATGGTTGCCTCCTTTCTTCTTATGCAAATATAATTAGTAAAAAGAGGACGGAAGATACATTAGCAGTCAGTCAATCTCAATTTAGTAGC